ACCTTTTCCCTTGGCCTCTGAAGGTCAGCTTGTCACCCATGCTAGTCTTCTGAGACTCCCGAAGACAAGGCTAAATGTTTCTTGTCCTGGGCCTCCACTACACAAGTCTTCACTGTGCTCATTCATTCATTCATCAAACACACATCATAGACCTACTATGTGCCAGTCAAATTTTGCCACCAGAGAGCAACTCCAAATGTGGGGAGCAGTGCCCCAAGAGGACAACCTGGGTTCTGGGGGGGACACACAGCAAGACGTGTCACTCAGCTCTCTACCAGGCTGACTGGTATCCTCAATTAGCTATCTTCTTGCCAATCTCCTTGATTTGGGCATTTTCACCTTACCTGCCTCTCCAGCACCTCAGCACAGAGGAAACATGCATTTGGATCTTTGTATCAATAGAAGAATTAATTTTTATTGAGCATCTATTATGTGGCAGGCATTGTTCAAGGAAAAAGGAAAAAGAGCATGAACAAAATGGACTGAATTCCCTGCCTGCAAGAGGCTCGCATTCTAATAAGACCAGGATATAATTGGATGAATTATATACATTCTTAATTAACCAGCCAGCTTCCTGAGAGGAGAGAGGATGGGAGCAGAGAGCAAACAGGCAGAGGGTGTGGCCAGATCAGCAGATGACCAGAGCCGAAGTTCAGCTCCCCCTCCTCCCCCCCACCACCTTGCTCCTCCATCTCAGTGTGGACACCAGTAGGTGTCAGTTTCTCCCAAATGCCCCTGCTCACCTCTGCTTCATTCCATCCCACTGCCCTGCACTGGCCCAGGCCACCACCATCACTGACCTGGGCACCAGTCACAGCTGCCTGCCTGCGTGTCCCTACCTCCCAGCGTGGGTCTTTCCTTCTCTATCCCAGGGACCTCCTCCTGGCTGTTTCTATGCTCTAACTCTGCCCTCCATGGCCACGCGCTAACCTAAAACATCTCCTGTCACTGTTCTGGGATCAGCCACACTGAATAATTGTCTTCCCTTCAAAGCAGCCAATCATCTTTCCTCTGCTTGTGACCTTTACCCAGTCTGCAGCATCCGGCCTCTTCCGGCTCCCTCCCACCACCTCCCCACAGCCTGTGGCCTGGCTGCCTCCTCTTGGTTCCCACGCCGCTGTCTGAATGTCCTGTCCTCAGGGAAGATGCCTCTCACTCCCCAGCTTGGCTTGGTCCTGCTCTGGGGCCACAGCATCCCTATCTTGTCCAGTCCTGCTCTATGTGGCTCTTCCTCCGGCTTGTCTGCAGATTCCTGGAGGCAGCAACCAAGTCTACCTCACCCACCACTGCCAGGACCCAGCACACACCTGACACATCGTAGGTGCTCGGTTCTTTAAATGAATAAATGAACATCTCAGGTGTGGGCTTCTTGCTAGTGGTACTAGTACCAAGCCCGACTGTTCAGTCTCTGCTGTTCACTTACTTGATGGATGACCTTGGGACTTGGTGTGTGACCTCTCTGAGACTTTGTTAACTCATCCACAGCAGAAGTTACTTAGCATGCATTTGCGAGATTATTGGAGAGTTAAGTGCGGCTGTCTCCATGTGAACATGTCTGGCTCCTAGGAGTTAATAAAGCTTGCAAATCTGAGTGCTAAGTCAAAGGCCCTGGTGTAAACTATTAGCCAGAAAGCTATGTCTTGGGCTAAGACATAGTTTTTCAAGATAAGCTCTGGATTAGACTCCCAGCTCTGACACTCAGTAACTGGACAAACTTTGCCAGGTACTTAAACCCTTCTATGCCTCAGTTTCCTGTGTCACCTGTATGGTGATAGTGAGGGTATCCTCCTGCTAGGCCTCAGGCTGGGAATTCTACTTAGGCCAGTGCCCCGTGCCTAGGTCAGTGCCACACTGCAGATGCCCAATAAATGTTAGCTGACGTCATTGCCATTAAAGGGCAGCCCTGACAGCCACGCCATTTGCTCTGATCCATGGTCCCCCCTGATGGAGGAAGAGACAAGTTTCTAGAGAGGTTCAAGGTCAAACAATGAGGAAACGGCGGCTTTGTGCTTCAAGGCCAGGTCTGCTGTGCCCAAATCCCATGTTATTTCCACTCCGTCAAAGAAGCAGCTCAAAATAGGCCTGTGGCATTTCGGCTAATTTCCTCTAAGCCCTTCCCAAGTAACAAGCTGCAGGCACACAAAGCTACTCCCCGAAGAGCACCATACTGCAGCCACAAAGTACGTGCACCTGGTGGGTCCCAAGAATCCGGTAGGGCTTGGGCCAAGCCAGCTCTTCCCAGGGAGCCCTGCCCGGTCTGCAGAGAGCACCTATGGAGCTCAGCTAGCTGGGAAGGGGCGGGAATGGCACAAAGTCTCCATAGAAGAAGAGGCTGGAGACCATTGTGGATATACAAGGGAGAGAAGAAATGGGAGGGAACTCACCCCTGTTGAGTGCCCCCTGTGTGCCGGCCCCTCACCTGTCTGATACTACTTAATCCTCACTGTAATCGCTCAGCCTTTATCAATGGAGCCAGCCCTGTGTTAGGTTTCAAAGTCATAATGTGAGCGAGACCCAGATGTGGGCCTCAGAGGGCAATTGCCTGGGCCCTCATCCCAGGCAGTGAGGGGGAGAACACACGCACACCCAAGTTCATTAGCGGTGGTGACAGAGGGCTGGATATGGGACCAGATGGTTAAAAGCAGGGAAGCGTGGGCAAGTCTCAGAAAGGAGTGCACAGGTACTAAAAGGCCCATTTTACATCTGGTGCAACTGAGGCTCTGAGTGGTCAGCTGGTTTGAAGTCCTGCAATTCCCAAGCAGCAAAGTGAAGCTGAGCCCCCAGGTCTGTCGTGTGTCCAGAAGTCTCCTTTCTCCATGCTGGTGGCCAAGGAGCTGTTACCTTCCTCCCTCTCCCCTTTGTCCTCTTCTCAGTGGTGATCTGACTAGAAGGAATGAAATTGTGCAAAAGCTGCAGCCACCATCCGTGGCTCAGAGTTTGCAGGTCCCGTGGACGGACAAACAGGTTTCTGAGCTCCTGCTACTATTTGTTTATTTTGTTTTGTTTTGGAGCAAAAGATTCTAAGGTTGCTCCAAAGGGGTAACAGTGAAGAAGAAGGCCTCTGTCTCCAGGCTGGAGAGTCTTGCTGGACAGCAAAGCAGCCAAGGTGACCGCCATCAGTGAGGTCAAGCATGGTAACACCCAGCAGCTCCTCACCCCCTAAAAGACCGAGGTGACTTCAGGGGCCTGGAGGCCAACCCCTCATAGCTTCCCCAAGGAGGGGACCCAAGGAAATCACCCCACCCCCACAACCCTGCTGCTAAACAGCCAACTGCCTTGCCCAGGCAGGTTAGGACACCAGCCACTCCCCATCCTGATTCCATCTGCAGATTCGAGAAACCAAAGCCAAGAAATTGTCAGCCATTGGCGTGCAAACAAACATAACCCTTGCGGTGCCCTAAGGTACCTGAGCAGACATTGCAGAGGTCCTGGTTCTGTCCTGGTCCCAGACACCTGGACCTTCTCTCAGAACCAGAAACCTAGCAATTCCCCTTTAAAAGAGTCCTTCCTTCTGACAGAGCAGCAGGCTGGGAGAAAGTAAACTTCCACGCAGGGCAGAGAAACAGGTAGTTTTCCCACGACGTAGAGGATACAGTGGCTCTAGCTGCAGACCCATCTTCCCCAGCTGAGGGAAAGCAGGCAATGATGGGCTTTGCACCAAAGAAACTTTTTAATGCAGTCATCTGCACATTTTTTGATAATCATTAGATCACTGAGAAATGATCAATCAAATTATCTCAAGCAAGCATGGAGTAATTGAGTGAGGAGGTTGAAACATCTCTAACCACTCCCAACGGACGGTCAGACTTACGCCTCTCTCTAGCCCCCCCCCCCCCATTATAGATTTGTGCCCACATTATGCCTTACGCACTTGGCTTCATTTAACTATGAAACTGATCAGAGAAAGAAGGAATCAGCAGCAGAAGCAGCAGCAGCAATCAACGTGCCCCCCCCCCAGGTCTCAATAAGGAAAGAACACAGAAGCAGCCTGGCTGTCATCACCCCGGGCTATGGGTGCTCCTGACCAGAGGGGACTTAGGTGCTTTCCTGTTCACAGAGGGGAGGTTTTTTTTTTTTTTTTTTTTTTTAAATCTCTTCCAGTCCTATTTATGAATGACAGAGGAAACTTGGAAAGATTCACAGTTCCGCCCCCCTCCATCTCTCCTGCAAACACGTTTCTCCTTGGGATGAAAAATCATGCCCAAGCCCCGTCACCCTTTCTCACCCCTCCTTTCCCATGAATAATCTTTCCAAAATGTCTGCTTGTAGAAGCAAGATTTGGAATTTCACGGAAAGCTACAGAGACACAGACAGTGAAGTCAGTGCACACTCTGTGAGCCAGAGAGAGAGAGAGAGAGACAGACAGACAGACGGAGACAGAGAGAGAGAGAGAGAGAGAGAGAGAGAGAGAGAGAGAGAGATGCAACCAAGCCGGAGATGCATCTCCTGAGCCACTAAAATAAAACAAATCACCCCCCGAAAAGCAAAGTGAAAAGGATGCGACACACACACACACACGCACACACACACACGCACAGGCGCACACGCACGGTTAGTAATTACCCCACTTCCAGGCAGAGAAACGGCTGGCTGAAGTTTTGTGCCCGTCTGATTGTGACGGGAGGGTTGTGTTTGAAGCTCTGGGCACGTAGAGACGGAATGAGAAGGAGGCTGAGCTGGAAAACACAGCGAGGAGGGGGGAGGGCCGAGGCGAGGGAGCGAGCGAGGGCGCGAGGGGGAGAGGAGACGGTCTCTAGCTACGCCTTCCGCTGAGCTCCGGAGCCCAGCGGGCGGCGGGCGGCGAGCGCTCATTTCGGCACCGGGAGCGAGAGCACTCGGAGGCGGCCCGGCGCCCCCGCTCGGCCCGGCGCGGCGGCCCCCGGGGAGCCCAGAGGATCGGCCGCGCGCCCCCCGGAGCCGGCCGGCGGCGCGGGGGCGCGGAGCGCGCAGGGGCGCGCGGGGAGCTGTCCAGTTCAGCACCGCCGGCGATGCAGTAGGTGGGCGCGCTGCGCCGGGCCAGCGCCGCGAGGGGGGGCGGGCGGCCCATCCTGCAGCAGGACGCCGGCTCCCTCGACTCGCCGAGCCCTGCGGATCGGGGGGAGGGAAGCCCGCCTCGATTCTCCGGGAGAAACCCCTTCCCTCCCCCGCCTCGCCGACAACAATACGCCGCCGCCGCCGCCGCCGCGCGCGCCCTGCGCAGCCATGGAAGCCGGGACCCCCGCCGCCGCCGCGCCGCCCGCAGCCGGGGCTCGCAGGATACCGGGAGGTCGGCTCTGAAGGCGAGCGCCCCGGAGCCCCTCAGGGCAGAGGACCGGCCAAGCCGAGGATTTCATGGCGCAGGCCGCAGAGCCGAGCAGGAAGACGAAAGGGTGCATCTCGGCGCTTCAAACCCCTAACTGTCTGGGTCCCGACCATGGGAGATGGTGTTGAGGATTCGGCTGCTCCCCGGTTCACTGTGGAAGCCATCTCCAGATTAGCGATCACATATGGAAACTGGAGACCGGAATTTTAGGAAAAGAGATTAAAACATCTCACTTTTAGGGGGTGGGGGTGTCTTTTTATTTCCCCCCTCCCCCTTTTTTTAAAACTCACTGCAACCAGAACAGTTTCTGATCCCAAAAGGCAAGCCTCTCTTCCTGTGTGATCTTTATAATTTACACTCTTTTCCGTGAGCTTTCTTACCTCTCTCTGTTTTTTTTTTTAAAAATATCTCTCCATATCCTCTGTTCACACATATATATCCATTATATTAGTAGTGGAATTCTATTTTAATTTTTTTTTTTTTTTTTTTTTTTTTTTTTTTTTTTTGGCTTTAGTACTCGCACCCTCAGACACACTCTTCCGAGAACCAGAAGTCGGTTGGGTGTTTATATAATGAAGAATTATGGGGCTGTTTGATCGAGGTGTTCAAATGCTTTTAACCACCGTTGGTGCTTTCGCTGCCTTCAGCCTGATGACCATAGCTGTGGGGACCGACTATTGGCTCTACTCCAGAGGGGTCTGCAAGACGAAAAGTGTCAGTGAAAACGAAACCAGCAAAAAGAATGAGGAAGTTATGACCCATTCTGGATTATGGAGAACGTGCTGCCTTGAAGGTATTTGATTTCCCACCCCCTGCACCCGGCCCCTCCCCTCCCCACTCCCCTCCCCACCGGCCTCGGATGAGTCCCCTTTGCGTTCCACCATTTTCCTATTTGGCTCCCTCCACCACAGATCGAGGTTGGTTGGGTTAGTTTCAGAGGAAAGAAAATCAATCAGCAAAAACCATACTCCACTCTCCGGCCTCCACCTCCCTCTCCCTTCCCCAGACCTCTTCATTGGAATCATCTGTGCTCGGATGCGAACAGCAAGAGAATGTCTTTAAAGTCCAGTGGGCTCTGCCTGCTTCGGAATCATTAGGATTTGCCTTTGGATTTAGTGTTGCCATCTCTGGGGAGAGAAAATAATTGTTTCCCTTGATGCTGCTCCTCTTTTCCCGGTGAAGAATTCTAAAATGTTTTTCCTTTTCCTCTCCTCTCCTCCTGACTCCCCCCAAAAGTCCCAGACACATCATCATCTGCAGCAAATCTCCTTTCTTAAAAGGAAAAAGAAAAAAAAAATCTGTTGTTTCTAAGAATCCTTATTTGGTAAATCCTAATTATTCCAGGATCTCAAGCCGAGTTCAAGAGCATTTCGTAATGTCTATGAGCCACCCGTAGCGGTCGGGGCGGCTGGCTGCATGTGTGTATGTGTGTGTTTTAACGTTTACAAAGTCTAAAAATACATACGTCTCTCGAAGGAAACAAGTCCAAGTTCGAATAAACAGCAATTCACTTGCGGGTTCGGCTGCAAACCAATTTGCTTCCGCACCAGAGTGACATGTCTGTCACCCAGAAGCCAGTCGAGTCAGCATTGTGCAGGCAGGCAGGGAGGGGGGAGGTGAGGGCATGGGGAGGTTGAGGGGGGAGTGGGGCAGCAGTGTGGGGGGTGTCAGCTGTCGGCCTTGATCGTGCAGGGTCTTTGAGGCATGTGTGCGTGCGTGTGCTGCCACCATTTGCAGGCTGGGAGGCCGAGGCATGGTGAAGGCATGTGGTTCTGGGACACGGCAATAAGCACAGAGGAAGAAAAACAAGACTCCTCAGGTCACACAGCCTGCGTTTAGCAGCAGACCTTAGGGTGGATTTGCTCTTCTCTCTGTGGATATATGAGCCACCCGTGGGCAGACAGGCTCAGAGATGTGCATAGGTTTCTGTGTGGAAGGCAAAGCTTGTGCGCCTTCCTTCTGATGCTGCGAACCAAGACTGGAGGCCGTTTGAGGCAGTGTCAGGAAGCTGGCACTGCAGGATTGTTGGTGAGGCTCCACACCGGAGGGATGCGGGGAGTTGAGGCCAGCAGATGGGGAGAAGAGAGAAAGATCTGCCAGAGGGAGAAACTAATGTGGCCCCGGGGTCTAACCCAAACTGAGCCGAGCTGCTCTTTGGGAGATGGTTACTTCTGGGAAAAAGCACAAATTCTCTGCCCCCCACCCCCAGTATTCTTGGTGCAAGCGGTTGAGTGATGGCTGGACATGTTTTGAATAGCTAAGTGACTTCATTGAGCGATGGGCTATTTGACGCATACTGCATCTGGTGCCCTTTCTCAATCCAAGCCGCTGCCTTAAACATATTCTGCAGAGCAGCTCTATGCTGAATACTACATGCTCCTCCCAGCCGGAGTCAGTATGACGAAATTAATAGGGACCGTTTTCAACACATGCACACACACCCCTCCCTTTAAAAATGAAAAGCCTTTCAGACCGATAGTCATTTGCAGTGGAAAGATGATCTCCGTTTAATTAAACATTTATGACAGCCTTTTATTCTAAAAGAGAAGGAAGGCGAAGTGGATAAGGGTTGCTTTAGGGAGAGGATCTGAGTGGTGATTTGTCTGCCTTGGATTTTAGTGAGAGGGATGGAGATGCACAGCCGAGAGACGATAGCAGAAGCAAGACGTGATTTTAAGGGAAATAGAATCAGATATTGGGGAGCTGGTAAAAATGCTCTTCTGGTGGCAGGGCTTTATTTACAAATCCTTAACACTGTGATCTTTGAAACATCTCATAATTCCCTGAAGACAAGCGGACTAGAGTTGGCTTTGGATCACTTATGCATTAAAAGGCTTAAGTGTTTTCATTAAAATCCCATCCGCGTGGCGTCTGCATCCCCCAATACGCTGCACACCCCCTGTAACTTTCTCTTTGAGCTGCATGCCCTGTCTCTCTCTGCTCGTCTGTAAAGGGTTAGCATCGCAATGCTCCCCAAGGGCTTTGTGGTGTACACAGGAGCCGAGGGCTGGCACTGACCCCAGTGGCCTCCCTGGCTGCCCACCCCGGGGCACTTGCCTCCAAGTGGAGGGAGGAGGGCTAGCGAGGCTCTCTGCTGGGTTGATTCTCGCTTTCCAGATGTAGTCCAGGCCCAGGCAGGAGCGCCAGTGCTCAGGGCCCCTGTTCAACCTGGCCTTCAATTTCCAAAGCTTCTCATATGTGGCTTGGCAGAGCTCAGAGAAAGCCGGGCCTTGGCCACTCAGGAAGTGGTTTGGAGATATTTTCAAGCTGCACTGATTTCTAAGGTTGGAAGTTCACTTATTTCTGGAAGTTGGCACAGCCAGTTCCTGAGGGTAGTGGTATGCTGGCCTTTCCGGCCACTCGGGGTCAGCCGTTAGGGACGTCAAGTTGCCAGTGAGTGTGCTGAGCCCTCTGGCTTGTATTTCTTGGATGAGAAACTAGATTTCCCAAAAAGATTCTTCTATCACCGCTGTAACTGTATTTTCTCCCCATACCCAAGAAGTTGTGAACCGATTTCAAATCTTCTCTTGGAGAAGCTGCTGATGATTTCAGATGGAAAACAAGGCGTCTTCCTCTGATTGCTGCTGCTGTCTGCTTTTGATTAGGGCCTTTTGTCTCCTGAGATGATTATTTTTGTTCACCTCTTGATGAAAATAAGAATCGGGAAGTAATTCTTTGCCTCTGATGCTGCTTTTGGAATTAATTAGTGTGCCGAAGAATGAGAAGAGATGTGGCCACCTGTTAGGGGCAGACACGGGGGGAGGAGGACGGGGATGGAGAAATAAAAGCCCAGCCTTTCTTTTGCTCCCTGCAGAGTAGATATCTGGAAAGTGGACCCCGTGTGTGAACGCCCGGGCAGGCTACTGTCCTCAGCCAGCTTTGAGAAGCAGGGGTGGGAACAGAAGGTCCAGGGGCACAGGTGGGTGCAGGGTGAGAGAAGAAATTCTTGAACTTTTCAAGAAAGCAGCACTGGGCATCTCTGGATAGAGACAGATTGGTGCTTTCAGGGAGAGCCCAGTAAAATCAACAGGACTCGGAACTGGCTTACTCCAGGGAGACTTCTCGGGGCTGCTGGAGCTTTACTGTTCAGAGCTTTTAACCTCTGTGGCCACCTAAATGAGGCGATATATCCAGGGGCACCCAGAAATCCTGTCAATTCTCTCCAGTGCGCTCTTCCTCTCTTCCCTGTACTGGCTCCAAGTGTCCCCCAAAGGATTTCCAGCCCTGCAGAGGAGGAGACAGAAACTGGTACCAAGTGTCAGAAGCAGAGGCCGACCCACCAGCGCCCCTCTTCTCTCTGGCCCCTTTGCATTCCGTGCTGCCTACCCAGGCTCGTAAATGCCCTCTGCCGAATTTTCCAGCTCCTCCTGCGTCGTGGGCTTCTCCCGTCGCCCCCTCTGCCAGCCATGACTGCATCCTTGCTATTTTTAAGCAAGAAGAGTCTCGCTGGGCCCGAATTGTCTTTTCCAATGGCTCGTCTCGCCTGGGGGCGTTGCATGGTCTGCTTGACCATGGCTCTCTGGTTCCACCAAAGGAGATGATAGAGGTCAGTTTTAGTAAATCAGCACCTTTCCTGGGCAGTCTGGCCTTTGAATGTGGAGGGATGATGTGGAGGGGATCCAGGGCCAACGCTCCGTGCCACACTGCTCTGCCAGCCCTGAGATAACCTGACTTTCTTTAAAAACTTTGCAGGGAGTAGGTATATAGGAAACGTTTATCAATGGATTAATTCAAAACAATTTTAAATGACTGGTGTGAATGCAAATGGCACAAGGATGTGTCACAGATGACAGGGAGACAGAGAGAGGAAGATGACTTGTTTATTCTTCCTGGAACTTCCCTATAAAAAATAATGAGTCAGGATTCTATATTATGAACGAAGAGGATTCCAAAGGAGTAGGTCTGCTCAGCTCCCAGTTGGCTGAAGCGAAAGAAAATTATTTAAGGAAAAGTAAAGGACAGTGGTCAGCAAATGCCTGGTCTCTCCAGAGAAGGAGAACTAAACAGTTGATTTTCTTCCTTTTTCTGCTTTTAAAATGTCCTGAATTTCAGTTTTATCTTAATGTACATAGAAATAGACACCTCTGGGCACAGAGTAGGCACTGTAATGGACCAGCCTTACAGAGCTTCTCCAGAACCTTCTAATCTTCAGCAAATCTCATGTCCAACTCCCAGGAACTGAAAACCTTCCCTCTGGGTCCTGGGTTCTAACCAGCAGTTGTCTACAGAGCCGGGCCCAGGGCCACTGGCCTTTCTACCTGTGGGCCCCAGCTGCCCACCTCATACCCTCTGTCCTTGGTTTGGACTTCTAAGTGAGAAGAGGAGGCCCTTGGGAATCAGTGGCCCACCTAGTCACAGGGACAGAAAGCAGCAGAGCCAGAATTCACATCCAGGCCTCTTGTGACCCCTGGGTTTCCCTGCCCCATGCACCCTACAAACCTCCAGACAGCTCTGCAGCCCGACCCCTCCGCCACTGACACACACAGGGCACGGGTCCTCTTCTGTCTGAATCTAGAGATCGGCTCTGAGCACTCAGCCTTGGCAGTCAGCGAGCGGGGTTCTGCAGCCCAGCTGCAGTCTCCAGCCACCGTGCACACTCTAGGGTGACTTGAGCCTGCCCTCCGCCCCGTCCTTTGGGCTGAGGAGCCCAGGCTGAAGGGATGCAGCACCCGCTTTCTAACACCTGCTGGCCTAGCCCACCACGGGCTCGTCTTTGTGCCCTTTTGTTTTGGAAGCACCCTTAGTGTGAACCAACATTCCGCTGGCTTGATGTTCACTAGCATTTTCAGGAACCAGCAAATGTGCGTCCCTGTAACTCATGAGGTTTTCAGATGAAGCTTTGCGTGCCATCTAGTTAAAAAAATTTCACAGCCCCACAACCTGGGTTCATTGTATGTGCTGTAGTCTTTAGGAACCGTGTGATTTGGGGCAGTTAAACCTTCCCAAGCCTCAGTTTCCTTTTCTGTAAAAGAGACATATCCTAGACCTTTTTCAGGGTACTTGGTAGTTTAGGGATCAAGGAAGTTGCCGTCTGTCCCTTTCTTGTTCTTGAAATTGCAATCAACAACCCTCACCTCTTCCCTTTCTGTATCCGATCCCCGACTGGTTTTTAAAATTTGTTCATTTGTTCGGGTGTTTGTTTGGCAGGGTTCTGAGCATCCTCTAGCCCGCTGTATCGGTCACTCAAAGTAGTTCTTGCCTGTCTCCGGCATGAGACCATCAGCTCCCAAGGGGAGGGGTTTGTGTCCTTTTCAACTCTCTGCTGTAGCCACCACGATGGTGACAGCACAGGATGTCAACCCGCCTTTGCAGACAAATAAGTGCATGACCACTGCCCGCAGTAGGGTGGGTTTCAGGAACAGTGGTCCCTTCCCACCATTGGAGAGGTGTTCTTTGAGTGCAAAAATACCACTTCTTTTGACATTCCAAAAAGT